TGTCCCCGCGTCCGCGCCCCCACCCCACCCCCGGGCGCTCACTGGCGCCTCTTTTCCTTGCCTACGTTGACTTCAGGGCTCTGCGTCCCCCGGGCTGGCTCCTTCAGTGGCACTGCGGGGTCAGAGTGTCTTCGAACAGAAAACTGGTAGGGTTCATCAGCGCCATCCCAGCAAACATTCGGATTTACGACAGGTGCGTAATTGAAACGTGCCAGTGCCCGGTTTGATGCGTTGCTTTTCCGAGAATTGCAGTTGTTATAACAGAGGCTTTTAACAAATGACTTAATGCCGCTTGTTGATAGTGGGGGAGGTCGTGTGTTGGGGTCCGGGGGGCGGGTAGGGGTGTATGGGAACTCTGCACCTTCTGCTTAGTTTTGCTGTAAACCTAAAACTGTCCTAAAATATGTTTGTTTAATTTTTTAAATGTTGGTCTCTGGACAACGAAAAAAGCACAGTTCTCTCTCTTCCTGTCAGTCCCATATACGCACGCAGAGATGTTTTATGTACATATGCGCACATACACAAACATGGATATATGTATGTGGCAGAATAAACGAAGCTATAAATGCTTATTTCAGATTCGTTTCTGGGGAAAATTACTTTAAAAAAATTGGGGGGAGGGACTTTTAAAAGCCTTTCTCTTCATAGGTTCAGCATGTTGCGGGTCTCCAGCTTGCAAAGTCAGATGTCAAACGCGTTTACTTTGGGTTAGCTTATTTACTGCGAAAAAGCATTTGCCCTCAAGGGACATTGTGTGTCAGACGAAATGCCTGCGTGCGGGGAACCAGAGCAGGGAATGGGCTTTGCCGCTCTCCAAGGTCCATGGTGGCTCAGGACAGCACCAGGTCTGTCCTGGCCGGGGCACCTCTCAGGGATCCTGGAGATGGCGTTGTACCCAGAGTAACACCTTATCAGGTTCTGCATCGGGGTGACGGAGTTAGTGTGATTGTACACGTCACAGGAAAAACACATAGAGGAACTGGGAGGCACCTCTGATCCAGTTTCTAAACTGAAAACTTATAAAAGACCGAAGTCCTGTAATTTATTTAGACCATGGCGTCTCCATGGTCTAAAGCTGCGATCCTTTTGGCAGGCGAGTATGGGGAATAGTCTGTCAGTCTGACTTTGTGAAATATCTAGATGATAAAAGATTTTCCTTAAATATTATGTTAAAGGAAGTCTTTCTGTTTCATATTCTTATGTTTTAAAAATGTTTTCATCTTATGTTTGCTCTAATTTTTGACATCTTTGTGTCCTAGTGTGAAGAAGATGGTCGAAATCAACTTTCTTTGTGTTCATAAGAAATTGAGATCAAAACGGGTAGCCCCCGTGTTAATTCGAGAAATAACAAGAAGAGTGAACCTGGAAGGGATTTTCCAGGCCGTTTATACCGCTGGCGTGGTTCTCCCTAAGCCAGTGGCCACGTGCAGGTAATAACCTTGCATGTTACCTGTATTTAAGCACTGAGCCTCCCCTGCTCTGTTGCTACAAGTATTATTCTCCTGACAGGTGGCGCAGAGGGATTTCGGCTTACCCGTGGTCATGTCATTCGTGGGTAGCAGAGATGGAGACTAAACCATTGAGCTGGGTCCTCTTGCCAGGGTACTTGTGTGCTAGTGACCCAGAGCTCTATTTTAGTGTCTCTTCCATTTGAAAGACTAATTCTTTCTCTGCGTTGGGGAAACCCGGGGCGTCATGATCTTGAATGTCCAGTGTGGGACCATTTTCTTCCCTCCTCTAACACTCGGTCTTAGACTGTGCTCTCCAGTGCTCTCAGGAACTCTTCCAAAAGCTTGGTAAGCATCAGTGGAAAAGCCCAGACATACTTGTTCACTAAGAGTAAGAAGAGGCTTAAGCTCTCTTTTTATGACTCCATCTGCTCTTGCCGAGCTTGCAGAGGTTAATCCAGTGAGAAAATTGTTTATCAGATTGTCACTTGACTAACCTGTTTCTGAAGCATCAGACTTTATCTCCTTCCGCTGTTTTTACAGACTCAATAAAACAATACTTAAGGTAAACACAGTATAAAAGATACAACTATAAAATTACTATTTCCTGTTGAATTATTCATAAATAGAATAAATAAGACTTCACAGGCATATTTTAACACAAGTCATTCATCCCAGTACCTAAACTGGAATCACTTCAGAAATTCAAGCTAGTTTCTCAAAAAGTTTTCTTGGTGTGAGTTGTATAAACATGAAGGCTACTCATTTAGGGAGGATATGTTCATGTTTTTGAACTTTTGGATTTGCTTTCTGTAGAATCGATGATGGTCATTAAATATTTGCAAACTGGGCATTATTAACATGATTTTTGCCATTTTAAGATTCCTGTTTACTGAAAGAGATAAAAAGTCGTAAACTATAAAGGAACATGTTATGAATGTGGGACATATTTTAAAGGTAAAAAGTGACTGATAAAATAATTGCATAGGAAGAGGGCCAGCATCCAGCACTGCGCCAGATGCCACGTAAGTGTTCATTAAATGTTCTACAACAGCTGAGCTGAGATAAAAGACTAAAAACGTGGAGAGTTAGAAATCAATCAGATTTTCCAACTTTATTGTATTCCAGATACTGGCATCGATCACTAAACCCCAGAAAATTGGTAGAAGTGAAATTTTCTCACTTGAGTAGAAATATGACTTTACAGAGAACAATGAAACTGTACAGACTTCCGGATGTAAGTAAGAACGATTTGCAATTTTTCAAGGCTATAACAACTGAAGCTTTTCATATCGAAAAGAATTATTTGCAGGAGACTTAAAAACTGGCTGCTGCATCTGTGGACATGAATATGTAGCTAAAAAGACTACATAGAATTCAAGGCCTGGAAAAGTAAGGGCGTTCACTTGGAAATACCAGTTCGTTTGTTTTTAAGGCTTTTTAGTTTCTTCAGATTGTGGTTGGATGGGATTGAAGTCAAGATATGTAAGTTTTGAAATTTTTAGTATTTATGGTTTGTCAAGTAAGGGGAAAAAAGTTCAGACTTCTGGTGATAATCTTAACTCAATGGAATGGTATTTGTCTTTGTCTGACTTATTTCACTTGGGTATTACCCATTTTGCCACAGATGGCGAGATTTCGTTCTTTTTTTATGTCGTCACTGATGGCAAGATTTTGTTCTTTTTTTTATTGCTGAGTACTAGTCCATTGTAAAAATTTAAATGCACTTACCAGTCTTGGCTTGGATGGTGTGTTAGTTATCTATCACTGTGTAACAAATGACTACAAACGTAGCAGCTTAAAGGGACACGTTTACTGTCTCCCAGGTTTGCGGGTCGGGAATGAAGGCACAGCTTAGCTGGAGCCTCTGCTTCAGGGTCTCTCATGAAGCCGCTGTCGTCAAGTGTCAGCCAGAGCTGGGTCTCATTTGAAAACTTGGCAGGGATGGATCCACGTCCAAGCTCACGTGGCCGTTGGCTGGCTTGAGTTCCTTGCAGGCCGGTGGACTGAGGACCTCCATTCCTTGCTGGCCGTCAGCCAGAGGCTGCCTCAGTTCTTTGTCACGTGGGATTCTCCACAGGGCAGCTGACAGCAAGGCAACTTGCTTCATCAAAGCCAGTGAGGAGAGACTCTTCTAGCAAGAAGACTCTGCTAGCAAGATGGCAGTTAGAACCTTATTCTCAATTCACAAAAGTGACATCCAGTCACCATTGCCATGTTTCGTTGGTATGACACAAGTCACGGGTCTCATCCACACTTGGCGGAGTGGATCACAGGGGCGTGACACCAGGAAGTGGATATCCCTAGGGCCATCTTAGAATCTGTCTGCCACAGGTGGGATCTTCTATTTGAAGTTTTGATTTCTTCAGAGTTGTTCTTTTTGGGAGGAGAGGAGAGGGGGGCGGTATTTACAAAGTAGTTCAGGAGATATTTTAGCTTGGTTGAGGGATTCGTGTGATGTAGCCATGTTCCTCTCGAACATGGCGAGAAGGTTACGGGTCATGGCCGTTCTGTGCAGCGGACCCCAGTTCCTTCTGTGTCTTGGCCCCCTGTGTGTTTGCCAAATGCACATAATCAGTGCCTCGTGGATCAAGGTCCCTTTTTTCCCGATGGTAGACGAGAATTATCTGAGGTCTGACCTTAGGCAGAATTTAATAAGGAGAGAAGTGGTGGTGAAGGGAAGCAGATGCTGCAAGGGTCAGGGTCATCATTCTCTTCGGCTTCATGACCTGGCAGCAGGACCGGAAGCCATGCTCTTCCCTCTGCCTTCGGTGTTGGTGCAGACGGCGGGGGCTCAGACCGATGAGCTCACTGCCTCTCTGTGAGGCCAAGCAGGGAGGGGGGACATAGATCAGAACAGATGGAAATAAAAACCGCAGGTGACATAAAGAAGGAGGGTCCACACAACCTGGGGAAGAAGGAGCAGGCCTCAAGCTAAGGTGACAAAAAGGAAGGTAAGCTAGTGGAAGAGAATGCTCTGAAATGGAGAAATAGGAAGATGTCCCAGGAGGTCACACTGACATCATAGCAGTCAATATTTATTGACTCCTTTGAAGCTGGAAACAATTTCTGCTAATGGTCAAGCCCCAGCGTGACCGAGAGGGACAGAGTCCCAGGGGCATACATGGCAGTGAGGAATAAAGAGGCACAGCACACATCTGAGATGAGACACCGTTCGTTCTCATTGTTCTCCTTGCCAGGTGCTAAGTACTTTGCTACCTGCAAGTTGGATTAAACACTTCAAGCATTGAACCTAACGCAGTCCAGCTTGTGTCTAAGGAAAGTGCCCACTTACATGTCGGTTACCCAGAATGCAGCGGAGAATAAGGCGTTTTTCATACCTATCATTGGTTTATTCAGGCCGATTGGAATTTGAGCTGCTAAAAGTATGTCTGACATAACGTCCATCCGCCTTTATGTTTTTGTACGAGAATCAAGCAACTCAGATAACGAATTTTAATAAGTTGGTAATAAATCACTGGTCAGGCTTTGTTTTTGATTTTTTTAATTTTTTTTTATGGTGACATTGGTTAACGAAATCCAATAAGTTTCAGCTGTACACTTTAACAGTAAGGTATATATGTGTTTACACGGTGTGTTCACTTCCCGTAGTTAGATTTCTTTCTGTCACCACATATTTGACCCCCTTTACTCCATCTACCTTCCCCCTACCCGCTACCCTCTGGTAACCACTAGTCTATAGTCCATGTCCATGAGTCTCTGTTTGTCCTGTTCACTTGTTGCTTTCAGGTTAATATCCCACATATGTGATATCATGTGATTTTCAACTTTTTCTGTCCGGCTTATTTCGCTTAGCATGATTCTCTCAAGGCCAATCCATGTTGTCACAAATGGCAGTATTTGTGAATAATGGTGAATAATGCTGCTGTGAACATCGGTGTGCAAATATCTTTTCGGATATGGGTTTTCAAGTCTTTGGGGTAAATACCCAGTAGAGGGATTGCTGGATCATATACGGTAGATCGATTCTTAGCTTTTTGAGGAACCTCCACACTGTTTTCTATAGAAGCTTTGGTTTTTAGTTCTCCAATAAACTGAAATTTATGAAGTGCTCTCCCATATGTTCAATATAATCTTACAATACCCTTTCGAAGTTGGTTTTTCTTATCCCCATTTTACAGATGTGAAGCCTAAGGCTTGTGAAGTAGCAATTGACACTTAGGGGCCTGTCACTAATAAGTGGAGGACTTCGGATGCAGGCCCCAGACGTCCATGTTTCACCTGTCAGATCCCTTGGCTTCTGCCCTGGCCTCCAACACACCTCCTACGGGGTCACCATGGCCAGACATCTCTCTGGGCAGTCGTGAGAATGTAGGTTAAGGCAGGAAAGGACAATTGTCAAGGTCCAAACAGCTCTTGTTGGCATGTTCCAGTCTCCCTCCCTCTTCGAAGTCGAAGGGACGAAAATAAAGAGTAAATTAATGAAAAAGGGGGAGGGGTAAGAAGAGACGAAAGCACAGATATTTGGAAACTGGAAGGTGCCGACAGCAGTCTCTTGAGTTAGAAGCTGGACAGGGCAGCCTACGGCAGACCACCCTCCCCCTCACAGGGGACCAGCTGGCTGACACCGCCGCTGGCAGTCACGTCATGTTACGTGTACGTGTACGGAGAGGAACCTCACTGAACACAGCTTGTGCCCCGTGGACCAGCATCATTCTCTGATTCATCTTACTGATTCTGCGTACGGTGCCTGCTTGATCTCTTTTTCGTGGACTTCTGAATATGGGTTAACATTTATTGTGGCCAGTGTCGTGCTAGACCTTGAACACTCATAGTCTCATTTATTTCTCATAACAGTCATAGGAGGGCAGGCCATTGTCCCCATTTCACAGAAGAGGACACGGAAACACCAGACTGTTTTGCCCAGGGTTTTGTAGTCAGGACAGAATCGTCCCGGAGCCTAGGCTGTTAGCTACTGCTGTCTGAAATGCTAAAGTTTCTCCAAGAGTAATGCATTTCCCTACCCTTAAATATTGGTTCGTTTTTAATTTGGTGTTGAGCGTTTCCAGACAAAATTGGATTTTTCTTTTTTATTGGTCAATGCTCTTAAAGGTGAAGGAATTTGAAGCCAGTGTCTTTCTGCCGTTGCAAGGACACGCTTGTGAAGACGTGCCAAGACACCTGAGACAGTCTAGATTTAGTAGCAGTAGACCATTGTTATTAGTGTTTCGTGTCCTGCTGCTCCTCTTTAAAAAATCAAATAAATAACCATAATCATTGCTTACACCTCTACTCTGGAATCTTGGCTGTAAAACAGTTCACGCCACATAGTTTGACAGAGAACGACACTGCTTCTGTGTCTTGATAGGCTCTCGGCTTTATTTCCTTGTGAAATGTGCAGATTTTACACTCATTTCAATACACATAGAGTCCAACGAGTAATGCATATATGTTGGACCGTGGTAAAATAAGTCTGATTGCGATACAGAGTTTGCTTATGAAATTTAAGATCTTCTCAGTTACTGGAAATGTTTGGTTTTTGTTTTTTTTTTTTTTGCTTTTTATTGACTGATCAGAAAACATTGTCACTTCATTCTTTCAGATTATGCCAGAGCTTACCGTTTTTACCTAGGCTTAACGTTCTTCCTACCTCTTCCTGAAGACAACAGCTATAATCTAAGTGTTTATTTTACATTTTAAAATTTATTTCATGCTTCTATAGATTTTTTTTTTGGAGAGTTTGTGATTTCATATTAGGAAGAAGGGGGTCTAGGCCCTGAGATACATAAGCCGTTGCTAGTCAGCAAAAGTATATATTCTCCCCATTTTCCCACTTTTATTTTTTAATAGCTGATATAGTCTGATGTTCTCTTCTGCTTTAATGCTACTATAAAAACCCAAAGGGCTTATAAATTGCTAAGTTTATATACTTCTCCCTGCCCGTTTGCCCAAACGTGCTGTTTCGCTGTCTTCCATATCTAATTTCTACTACCCATTTTTCTGACCTTCAGAGACTTGAGGTAGCAGTTCTCCAAGTGGTCCATGGACCTCTGGAAGCCCCCGAGACCATGAAGTCAACTCTATGTTTACAATAACACTAAAACATAATTTGCCTTTTTAAACTTTCATTATCTTATAAGTGTACTACGAAGTCTTCCAGAGGCTATATGAAATGTGTGCTTATATATTCTTTTGCTTTAAAATTTCTAGTTTAATTTCTAATATGACAGATATGGATAGATATAACCACAGAAGCAGAGCTCTTTGGGAGAACTCAATAATCTTTAAGAGTGTAAAGCGAGTTGGGCAGACCAAATTACTTGCAAACAGCTGCTGGGCAAAAGATGTTGATTTTAGTGATTTCGCAGTTATAAATATTCAGTGCATGAGAACTATGCTGCAGAAGAATATTTTGCTTTAGGAAGAAGTTGGCAGGCCTTTTCCTCATTTTTGAATGTTCTGTTAAATAGATACCATGTATCCTGTCGCTTTCAGTAATTCATCAAACTGCTTGATATTGTCGATTGTTAATGAACCAGTAACAAAAGAAAAAAGTCTAATATTGAGAAAGACTATTTAAAATGTATCAAGGTTATCCTCATAGGAGAAAATACTCTTTTTTTTCATGACTGCAGTATATGTTCTATATGGTTTTGGTCTTCCTACTGGCATTTAGAAATGTGTATTTATCACATTTAACAGTATTTGGAGATCACATCGGCTCCATCTTCTCATGAATTGCAGTATAAAAATGCTACCGATACTAAAATTGGCTCAGGGGAAACAAAAGAAAAATATAGTATCATACCTAGTTTGCACATAAATGCCAGGCCACAGAAGTGTCATCTTTTCATAGCTGACAGTGACATTTTCCCCTGTCTGCAGCCTTCATCTCATCTTACTGCATAAGTGATTGTGGTACAAAATGCAAGAGTTCATTCACCACCTACCCAGGCTGGTGCTGTCCTGCCTTCCCGGAGGGCTAAGCCCTGGATCGAAACCGGGACCTAGAGATTTCTCGTTCTTGGGCTTTGAGATCCATGAAAAGACTAGAATAGAAGTACCAGTTCTTTATTAAGTGTGAAGAACTTAAAGTCTCTCAGGTTAGACTGTTTAAACTGTATTTTAGCCGCATAACTATGTCTTTATGTAAATCACAACTGTGCGGCACATAGTAAGTGCTCGGCTAAGGGCTGTTGGGTCTGCAAGTACGAGGAACGCATCTCCCATCTCCTCTCCACCACTAATCAATAATCAATCAGCATCCTTTGTCGTTGAACCTTAGAAACCTCAGCACAACTACTAACACTGAGCAGAGCCAGCAAACAAGATGAAAACCTGGTTTCCACCTTGGGCTTCTGCCATACTGCTAGTCTGAGGCATAGTCTGCAGGGATCGTCACGGTATCATTTCAGAGGCAGTTTTTTATTTTTATTTTAAAGCATCCAGAAATAATTAGGGCAGAAAAGAGAGCGTAGCAGTATTTACATACAAATTGTCACTTAAAATGTGTCCAGTATTTCTTCAAGAAAAAAAATAAATCAAGTCAACTGGAAAAAAGGAAATTGCATTTCTAAGTCTTTAGTATTTTGTTTGTACAAACAAGCCGATGGAGTGGGTTTTCTCACTTCTGGGCTCGAGCGTCCTTGTGCCTGGACAGTTGCTAGAGAGCCGAGTGATGTCTGGAGTTCTTTTGAGGACAGGCAATTGAACAAATCCAAATGTCCTGAACTTTAGGTTATTTTATTGCTGTGGCCTCATGAAAAATACTGCTCTGGAAAGATGGTTTCAAATGCCTCTCCTGTCACCTTTTAAACAAAAGATCGCATAAGAGGCCAGCACCAGTCCTTGGCAGGCAGCCATTTGCCTTCAGAAAATGTTCGGCTATTACAATGCTTGCCTCCCCATTCTGATCGATATGATTTGCTTTTATTTCGTTTTCGTGGCTCTTGAGAACAAAATAGTTACATCCTTTTCACAGGCCATTGAATAAAATAAGTTTCTCAACTCTTTTCAGCTGTGTTTTCAAAATGTCAGACAGCTTGGAAGTTGTAAAGCCTAATACATCAGAACACATGCAAAGATTGCTCTGTCCAGTTGTGTAGGCTGTTAAAATTCTTGGTTGGCATTGGTGTATAGATCAACTTGGAGTGTTCCCTCTGATTCTGTTGGGTTCACGGGCAATACTGACCAAAGACCAGGCACACAGAGATAAGACACAATACACTGTCCAGCATATGTTCTAACTCAGTGCTTCTCAAAGTTTAATGTGTATACATACGAATCACCAGGGAATCTTTTTTTTTTTTTTAATTTATTGATTTAAATTAGTTTCAATTATCCAGTACATTGGTTAGACATCTATATAGTTCATAAAAGGGTCCTCCCAACTGCTCCCTCCCTCCCCTGGCCCTCCACCTTAACATCGTATTAATGCTAACTGCATTCCCTCTGCCATGCTCCCCAGGTTCTGAGTGATAGGTGCGGGGTGGGGCCAGGAGTCTGCAGCTCCAACAAACTTCCCTGTGAGGCTGACAGAACTGGTCAGCAGACCGCGTTTTTAGAGCAAAGTACTTTCACTCCTCTTTTTACCTTCCGATTTGTTTTCTTTTCACTCGAACAAGGTGACAAAGACTTCAGGCTTGAGACCGATGGAACCGAGAGATATCAGAGCAGTTCGAGAATTAACCAACAGTTACCTGAAGCGGTTTCACCTGGCCCCGGTGATGGATGAAGACGAAGTAGCCCACTGGTTCCTCCCCCAAGAGCACATCATTGACACGTTCGTAGTGGAGGTAAAGATAAGGTGACACAATAGTACAGAGGATTATGGAAATACTGTGCTGTCGAGTCTGTTTTCCAGAAAGATCCTAGAGTGCCCATCTCTGTCCTCTCCTCCGTGACGGACACAGTCTAAATCAGATTTCTTTAGAACCGGGTTTTCTTACAGCGTCCACTACTGGATAAGAGCATATTTTTACTTCTTGTGAATGGGAAATTGGGATACTTTTCTGTGGTTACCTCTGTCATTAGCTGCTTCTTTCTGTTTTCAAAAAGCCACTTTGGATGATCTCTACTAAGGGAGATACATTCCAAAGTTTAATCTTCCTTTGGTTTGCAAAACTGGTTGTAACCGGACTACCTTTGGTCAAGATGGCATAATTTAGCCACTAAACTCAACCTTTATTCAGAGGAAGGAAAATAACAATTTAGATTTTCTGATTATTGGTTAGATGTGTGTAACATAGTGCTTTTTTAAACCTTTTTTTTTTTAAGCTTGGAATTTGTTGTTCAAATTATGTGCCACTTAGAAGCTCCTTTTGTTGAAGTGGGATTGGGTTGAGAAGTTGGAATTAAATCTGGTAAGTTACCCAGATGAGAGAAAGAGTGAGCAAGCCGGTTAGAAACTTCTGTAGCAGTCTGTTCGGCATTCAGGCGTGAGCCCTGAGCTGGACGTGGATTTTCGGCATCATCGGGCATTGTCTGGATGTCGGATTCTGGCCAACCTAGGGCAGTAATGGTGGGAACAGATGGAGTGAATTCAGAGGACATTTCTTGGGAACAACTGAGCGGTCCTCGTTTTTAAATCTTTATTTCTAAAGCAGGGCTGGGGTGGGCATCTTCGTGTACAAATCTTTCTTCACTTATGTAAGTTTCTCCAGAGCAGCAGAACCCAAGGTTTTTGATCTCAGGACCCATTCACTCTCTCAAGAATCATTAAAGACCCCAAAGAGCGTTTCATGTTTGTGGGTTACATCTGCAGATAGTTACTGTATTCAAAATTAAAACAAAAAATTTTAAGTATTATTTTGTAAGTCAGACAAAACCACATACCATACGATCCCACTAATATGGGAACTCTTAAAACAACAACAAACTCATAGAGAAAACAGATCGGTGGTTTCTAGAGGCAGGAGGTCGGGGGTAGGGGTGGATGAAATGGGTGAAGATGATCAAAGATATAAGCTTCCAGTTATAAAATAACTGATGTACAGCGTGGTACTATAGTTAATAACTCTGGTATATCAGAAAGTTGCGAAAAGAGGAGATCTTAAAAGTTATCACAGGGGGAGAAAAACATAACTATGTTTGGTGAGGGATGTTAACTAGACTTATTGTGGTGGTTATTTTGTAATCTACACATAAGTCATATTGTAACATGAAATTAATATAAAGTTATATCAATTATATCTCAGTAAAAAAAGCAATAATTGAAAAATATGTTGTTTTACTTAATAACCATGTAACAATAATAAACCCCATTACATTTTACCTGAATAGCATATTTTATATGAAAAAATAACTTTTTTCCAGAATATCAAAATTAATGAAAAGAGTGATATTGTTTTATATTTGTGCAAGTCTCTCTAATGTCCGACTTCCTAGAAGACAGCTGGGTTCTCACATCTGCTTCTGCATTGTCCGTTGTGATATATTATTTTGGTTGAAGTATATGAAAAAAAAAATCCTTTACATGAAGTATTGAAGACATGGAAAAGAATGAGTATTTTAATAGCCTTTTCAAATAATTATGGATATGAAGTATCTGAAATCATATTAATGAACTTTTATACTCTGTTAGATTAAAATCCACTGGCCTATCTTATTTTCGAATGACTCATTTACCAACGTATGAGTTTGCAACATCGTATACCGATCGTTTGGAAAATATTGGTTCGCCGAGTTATATAAATCTTCCAAATGTTGATGTTTCATTTATATCAAAAAATCACACTCATCGACATCACCACCATTGTCATCATCAGAAAAGTTTAAAATAAAGCTCCTCCTGGAACATACAGGATTTTCCAAACTGTAACTTGCACCTAAAAGCTCAAATGTTATCATTGGCAACACATCCTGCCAATTTTTTTCCTTGACACGATAAGCTTACGACATTGATTTTCAGGATGTGCCAGATATCCAAGTCTGAATGACCAGTTTGCCAGCCCCACTTTGAAGTGATTTTCCATGAAAAAAGAGGCTAGTGAAGCACACAGCTCAGTCACCTGAGGGCTTCTTGAGATGGCCTTTGTGCCCCGGTGCGGGACAGACGTGCTTTGTGTGTGTGCTCCCTTCTGCTTCATCACACAGAGGACTTAAAAGATGAGTTCTTAAGGGTCGAGGGTTAATAGAATTAATAATTCTTAATGCGGGACATGCTTAAGTGAAACCTGTTTTTAACCACGAGGGTGTGGCTGTGAGGAATGAGGGGGCCACCGCTGTGGTTTGGTGCCGCTGCCCTGTTTTGTGCAGCCGTCCACACGACGAACCAGGCAGGTAACTTCTTAGTGCTCTTATGAAAAGTGGTTTTGACCTCATAGACTTCTGAAAGGGTCTCAGGAACCCACAGGCATTCACAGATCCCACTCGGAGAACTGTGGCCCTCGGGTGGACACTTAGAAGCCGATCTGCCAGGTCTAAGTGCCACACCCTTTAATGTTACCAGAGATTGCTAAGTGCCTCTTAGCAGTGCGTGAAAGAATTTCCTCACATCCTAACACTGGGGGGTAGTACCCGACTTTAAATGTAGGCCAGTCTGATGGGTATCAAGTGGTATCTTGCTTTTAATTTATATGTTCTTATTACTGATGAATTTGAACATCTCATCATAAATCTGTTAGTCATTTTTACTACTTCTTCCATAAATAAGTTTGCTGTCTATATACTTGGCCTGTTTTTCTTTTTGACGATAATCTTCTTGATGCATAAGTTTTTCCACATGCTGACTACTAATACTTTGTATTGTGGTCAATTTCTGGGCTCTCTGTTCTGTACCACTGATCTCTGTGTCTCTTCCTCTACCAGTCCCACATCATCTTGATTATTACAGCTCTATAATTCACCTTTCCATAAAAATTTAGAGTAAGCTCGTCTTTGTCTACGAAATACCTTGCGTTAAATCTATAGATTAATTTGGGGAGAACTGACAAGTCTTGTAATCCATGAAAACGGTGTATCTCCATTTATTTAGATCTTTTAAAATTTATCAGCATTCTGTAATTTTCAACATCCAGATCCTATATGTATCTTAAGTGTATACCTAAACATATCATTCTCCTTGAAGCAATTATAAATGGTATTATGTTTTTAATTTTGGTTTCTGTATGTTTATTTTTAGTATATGGAAATGCAGTTGCTTTTTCTGTATTGACCGTGTATCCTGAAACCTTGCTAAAATCACTTATTAGTTCCAGTAGTTTATTTATAGATTTCTTTGGAATTCTACACAGACAGTTATGGCATCTGCAAATAGGAACAGTTTTATTTCTTCTCTTCCCATTGGTATGTCTTTTATTTCTTTTACTTGCCTTATTGCAGGGGCTACATCTTCCGGTACTTTGTTGAATAAGAATGATGAAGGTTGATATCCTTGCCTTTTTCTTGATTTTAGGGAAAAAGCATATAGTCTTCCACCATGAGGTGTGGTATTAGCTATAGGATTTTTGTAGACATTTCTTCTCAATTTGAGATTATTTTCCTCCTTTTCTAACTTGCTGAGAGTTCTTATCATGAATTTTTCTAGTGCTTTTTTCTGCTTCAATTGACATGATCGTATCATTTTTCTTCTTTAGTCTGTTGATATGGTATATTACATTGATTTTGAAATGGTGACCACCTTTGCATTCCTAGAAAATATTCACTTGGTTATGGTGTATAACTCTTTCTATACATGGAATTTGGATTACTAATATTTTACTGGGTATATTTTGAGGTTCCTGAGAGATATTGGTCTGTAGGGATTTTTTGTGTGTGTGGGGCGGGGTACTGTCTTTTGTTTAAGTATCAGGATAATAGTGGCTTCATAAAATGAGTTAGGAAATGTTACTTTCCTCTTCTGTTTTCTAGAAGAGATTGTATAGAATTTTCTTTAAATGTTTGCTAGATTTCTCCAGTTGAAACCATCTGAGCTTAGAGAATTTATTTTTGTTAAAATCATAAATTCAATTTCTTTAATGATATAGGACTACTCAGATGATCTGTTTTATCTTTATTGAGTTCTAATAGTGTGTGATTTTAAAGAATTGCCCCATTTCTTCTAAATCGTCAAATTGGCAAGGATATCAACCTTCATCATTCTTATTCAACATCTAATAGTGTGTGGTTTTAAAGAATTGACCCATTTCTTCTAAATCGTCAAATGTATAAGGGTAAAGTTGTTCATAATTATTCTCTTGTTAATCTTTTAATGGCTATAGTATCTATAGTGATAATCCTTATTTTATTCCTGCTATTGATGATTCGTATCTTCTCTTTGTCAGTCTTACTAGCATCAAGTTGATTTTATTGATTTTTCTCCAGAGAACGAGGCTTTTGTTTCATTGATTTTTCTCTATTTTTTGTTTTCCTATTTTCAATGTCACTGATTTCTGATATTACATTTATTTCTTTCCTTTTGCTTGCTTGCTTTGGGTTTATTTTGCTCTTTTTCTTCTTCCTTGAAGGAGGGACTTAGATTATTGAAACCTTTCTTTGTCACGATGTAAGCATTTAGTTCTGTAAATGTCCCTCTCTGCACTGCTTTAGCTTTATCCTAAACATTTTGGTAGGTTGTATTGTCATTTTCGTTCAGTTCTATGTATTTTTTAATTTCCTTTGAGACTTCCTCTTTGATCTATGGATTTCTGAGAATTCTGTTGTTCGATTTTGATGTATTTAGAGATTTGCTATTGATTTCTAGTTTCATTCCATTATGATTGGTGAACACACTGTATGATTTCAACTCTGTAAAGGTTCTTGAGGTTTTATGGCCGTGTGGTCTATCTTGGTGAGAGTGTGTGTGTGTGTGTGTGTGTGTGTGTGTGTGTGTGTGTGAAATTTTAAGTGGAGTCTTTTTATATGCCAGTTATATCCTATTGATTGTTATTCAGATTTTCTAAATCCTTGCTGATTTTCTTTCTAGTAGTCTATCAGTTGATGAGAGGTGTGCGAAAGCTCCCAACTATGATTGTGGATTTGTCCATTCTTCCTTAAAATCTGTCAGTTTTTCTTGATGTATTTTGAGGTTCTTATTTGGTACTTATTTATTTAGGACCTTTATATCTTCTTAGTGGATCGATCTTATATTATCATGTAATATGCCTCTTTGTCTCTATATTTTCTTTGCTCTGAAGTCACTTTATTGGATATTAATATAGCCACTCTTTTTTTTTAAGTTAATGTTTGTACAGTATCTCTTTTTCAGTCCTTTTATTTTCAGCCTAATTATGTCATTGCAAACAGCATCTAGTTGGGCCATATTTCTTTATCCACTCTGCCAATCCTTTTGACTGGTGTATTTGGACCATTTACATTTGATAATTATCAATATGTTAAAGCTTAAGTCTGCCATGCCATTTTATTTGTTTTATTTCCTCTGGTTCTTGTTCCTCTGTTTCTTTTTCTTTGCCTTCCTATAGGTTACTTGAACATTCTTTTAGGATTCCATCTATATTTATTTAGGTTTTCATGACGGTTGCTCTGGGTATTATGATACGAATGTGTGATTTACCAGTCTATTGGTATCAACGTTTTACCACCCCAAGCAACCTCACTTCCATTTAGGTCCCTTTTCCTTCTCCACTTTTAAATATCATTATCTTGAATATCTGATGGTGTTATAATTTTTGTTTCAGTCATTTAAGTAGATTTATAAAACTCATAAGGAGAAGCATATCGTATACAGTTGACCCTTGAACAACACGGGTTTAACTGTGTGGGTCCACTTATATGCAGATAGTTTTCAATGAATATGTGAAGTACTGTAAATGTATTTTCTCTGCCTTATGATTTTAACATTTTCTTTTCTCTAGCTTACTTCATTGTAAGAATACAGTATATAATCTGTGTTAATTGACTATGTTATCTGTAAGGCTTCTGGTCAACAGTAGGCTGTTAGTAGTTAAGTTTTTGGGGAGTCAAGAGTTATATGTGGATTTTTGACTGAACAGGGGGTTGGCCCCTCATCTCCCCATTGTTCAAGGATCAAATGTATATCAAAATTTCTACCGTTTCTATTGTTTGTTCTTTCCTCCTGATGCTCTAAGATTCATTATTATTTCTTTTCTGTTTGAAGAATTTTCTTTGGCTAATCTTAAAGGTATGTCTACTAGCAACAAATTCTTCTGGTTTTCATTTGCCTAAGAATGTCCTTATTTCTCCTTCATTCCCTGAAGGATAGTTTCACCAAATAAAGAATTCATGGTTGATAGTTTTCTTTCAGCACTTAAGAAAATGTGCTACTTCCTTCTGGCCTCTGTGCTTTTAGATGAGAAATCTGCTGTCAGATGAGTTGGTATTCTATAGGTGCATCATTTCTCTATGTCTACTTTCAAGATTTTGCTTCATCTTTATTTTTTGGAAATTCAGCTATGATGTCTTGGAGTGGATTTCTTTGAGTTTATCCTGTTAAGGTTTACTCAGCTTCTTGAACCTATTGTGTGTGTTTTGCCAAATTTGGGAAGTTTTCAGCTATTATTTCTTCAAATACTCCATGTTTTCTCATTTCCTTCTGGGACACCAATGAAGTGTACGTTGGATCTTTTGTTACTGTCCCACAGATCCCTGAGACTTAATTCATTTTATTTTTCAGTCCGTTTTTTCTCTTTTGTTCAGACTGGGTCAGTTCTACTGAAATCATCAAGTTCAGTGATTCTCTCCTCTGTCAGCTCTACTCTACTATTAAACCCATCCAGTGAGTTATTTATTTAATATCTCGTAAATTATTTTTTTAAGTTGAAAGTCTTTATTAAAGCTTAAAGTTTAGGTCTTAAACTCATCTCTAATACTAAGCCGCTAATACAGCAGAATAGAGAATCACTTTAGCTTAATGCCTCTAATTTCTTAATGTCTAAAAAAAAGTTGTAAGGAATCAGAAGCACTCAAAAACCAGATAATCCATCCATATGGAACGGTTTTTTTCTGCTGAAATCCTAGCGATGGCATGCACGGGGGTCTAGTCTCCTCAGCTGTATAATTCAAACATATCGTAGTTTGAATTAGATGCAAACCTCATAGGCCACCACAACTATTGAAATACCCCAGTTTCTTGTATGGAGGCATACCAGTGATTAAATCAATGCCACTTTTTCATCCCTTTTGATTTTGATAGCTTCATATCTTCTGTTATTCACATATCTACATTTTGTTGCAGTACCAGTGCCTTTCTCAAGCCTCTAAAACAGCTTCTGAATTCAATCCAATTTGGATTTAAGCTGATGCAATTCTTACCTTGTGCCAAGAAGATGCTAGATAGTATACGGTATCTTTTAGTTGGGAGAAGGCTGTCTTTTAACCCTTAGCACTCCTATTTCTGCAAAAACAATGAATCTACTTTGACCACTTTTCCATAAGTCTGGAGAGACTCATCACTCATCCCAAGGGAAGCTTTCCTTTTACAGCATTCTGCTTCTTCAGATCTTTATGCAGATCGTTCACTAGCACTTAGGCTAAGGTTACAACTCCATGCCCTTCTCGATCGCTACTCAACATACTCTATGGGCTCCGAATCGGACTGTCAAGAGAGAAGCAAGAGTTATTGCTTTTTGCTCTAACAGAAGTGATGGTGTAAGTCACGGGTCAAAACGTTAGCTTAAATGCATGGATGAGATTTGTTCTAGGAGGTATTTACCTGACGTTACCTTTGTTCTTTAGAACTCCAGTGGTAAACTAACTGACTTCCTGAGCTTCTACACACTCCCCTCCACAGTCATGCACCACCCTGCTCACAAGAGCCTCAAAGCTGCCTACTCATTCTACAACGTTCACACGGAGACGCCCCTGCTGGACCTCATGAGTGACGCGCTCATCATAGCTAAGTCGGTAAGCAGCTTGCTCTTTTTTGTGCTATGTGTTCCTCCAGATATGTGTATCAAAGTATATAAAGCATCTTACTGTATTTTACATCTTACTGTGGAATTCACTGGAGGTATTTTTTACTGTCGACCATGAGTCAAAGGAAAAGTTTTGATAAGAGTTTCTTTCAAAATGTTAGTGGCCCTTTTCATCATTAATTCTACTGCAGTTTAACCAAAAAGACATGTTGTAAACATTAGAAATTTTAACCCTTATAAGAATACATAAAATCCATAAGTACTATAAGAAAAATACATGATTCTACGACACAAGAAAAATACATGAGTATTTGCGTTACAGTGAATAATTAGCAACAGTAAGTTTTTTCATTTATCTAAGTCGTCTCTGAATTTTAAAGGTAAAGGAATTTTATTTCTAAAATTAAGGGGATTATTGTTAAAATTCACAGAATTTAAAATGAAAGGAATTAAATTCAAAATATGCCTTGCTATATTTGCATTATTTATCTTCATCCTCAGTGAAGTAGTCAGGATAATTGTTGAATTATTGCTACAAGTAAACATTTCCCTTTAAAAAGAAACTCAAATAAGCTGACAGATACATTTCGACGTTATTATTGTCGAATAATAAGAGAAAATATTGTTAATGGGAAATTGGGAACAACACATCCAAAGTGTCTTCCTTGCATTTATCTAATGTTAGATCATTAAAAACATTTTTTAAAAAATCTATTACTGTTGGATCCCAAAAATCAACATTATCCTGATTCTTTGATCCTACTACTAGTTTTCAACTAGTTCCCCCACCACCAAAAAGGCCTGTAATAAGTTATTCAAGGTAAAAACTCTGAGAAATCAAAATTTAAGTGCTTCATCTATATCACATTTTGAATAGTATTATCTAACATTAAAAGAAATTAGATTTTTACTATTAAAATTTTACTAAATTTACTTTCCAGCATCAGCCTGAGACAGATATACTATTTAAAGTTTTTAAAACTTCAGCTGAGTGAGAACTTAGAAAGGCCAATAACTAACTAACAATTCTTGACATGAAGCCACCTAGCCAACTGTTCTTGCTAAAATAAGGACAAAGGATTTTCTGAAATCTTAATAGATTATGTCAGTGTTAGCCAGCATACTATTTTTTGATTTAGCATTTCTGGATAATCTTGCTAACTCCATCAGATTCACTGCTAGTTGTATAAGACATTTTTGAACTGAATTCTTAACCTATACTATAGATTGCTGACATTAAACCTTATTATAAATGCAGGTTATTATGAGAGGAATTGAGTGTTATACTGAAATACAGACTATGGAAAACACTCTAATCCTTTGAAATTTTAAATGTTAAATCCTTTTTACATTGGCAGAAAGGATTTGATGTATTCAATGCATTAGATTTGATGGAAAATAAGACATTCTTGGAAAAACTCAAGTTTGGTATAGGAGATGGCAATTTACAATATTACTTGTACAATTGGAGGTGTCCAGGAACAGATTCTGAAAAGGTAAGAGAAGTTAATATGCCCCTTGTAAACTTAATAAATTTACCTAGGAAATTCCATACTTGCTTCCTTTAAGGACTGTTGAGATTTTTAGTGGCTTTTTAAACATACAGATCTATTGTACTACATTTTCTTATTTACCAATTCTTACTATTCCATTTCTTCCCTCCCTTTAGGTTGGACTTGTATTACAATAGGGGGCTATTTCCATTTATAGAACTCTGACGCCATCATTTGTTAATATTCCATTGAATGATTCCTGGAACTGCCATTCCAAAGAAGAATAAAAGCACAACTTAAGTGAAATCGATGCAGTTGGTAACAATCAGAAAAGATGGGGGAAAAAAAATTCATGTGACCAGTACTACATATTTCTAGCTAGAACATTAACATTCTTCCTTTCTTTTTTATCACCGTTTACCTATTTGTAGGAGGGATGAAAGGGCACAAAGAGCACATTCCTCTAATTTTCAGACTTTTGGCTATGTCTCGGTGAAGAGGAGGTATTTTTCCATTCTCTAGAAGAGGGACTTTTTTAAATGGAAGAAACAGAAGTCACAGAAACGTAAGAAAATCTTTGCTATTGTGTGGAGATAAACGGCTGCTTTTCTGTTTATTAAGTGATGGTCTGTTTGTCTGTGTAGCAGAATGAAGGATCCATTTGGGAAATTTTTGACTCATATTACCTTGCCTGCTATCATTTATGGCATCGGCACTTCCGTAACTTGATGAATCGTGGGTGTTTACATGTAGAGCAAGATAAAGATGTACTGGTGATGACTACCTTTATTTCTCCAGAAGCCAAGTTGCCAAATCAAGGGACACACACATTTGTACTTTAATTTTCAACAGGTCAGTAAACTGGCTCAAAAAGTTTTGTGCAAATAAGGGTGCTCTCGGAGATAGTATGCACCATGCTGACTAGGCTTTGCTGCTGCTGCTGCTGCTGCTGCACAAACTCGTTTTTTTCTCAGCAACAACGAGGATATGTGAGGAAAAGAAAATGAAACCTCTGAAGTCAAAAGAAATGCCCGGTGGAATTTAGTGCTATCAGGACATTGATAGTTTGAATGTTTTTCTTACTTATGCAAAATTGCACATATTCCTTTACGCTGACTTTAATTTATCATGAAAGCTGTCATATTAATGGAAAATGTCTTATTTGTAAATAAGTATGCATAATTTTGTTACTGGTGTTTTTATCTAGAATTTGAAAAACCAAGTTTCACAATGTACATATATATGTATATATTGCCAATAGTCCAAGGTGAAAAGAGATGCTGAATGAGGCCACATAAATTGGCCATGACGCAAATACCACAAAATAGATACTTCTTCCTGCCTTTCCTCTTCCAGTGCCTAGGCTGTTCAGTCCAGAGAAATTTAATTATTTTAGACAACATGATGATGCTTTTCCTTCATGTTGTAAGTCAAATGAAACCAATCATATCTTACACCAATCATATCTAGCAAGAGCTAGCAAACTGTGGTCCATCATCTAAATCCAACCTATAGCCTGTTTCTGTACAGCCCACAAGCTAAGGATGGTTTTTACACTTTTGAGTGGTTGGAGGAAAATAATAATATTTTGTGTCATGTGGAAACTGTATGAAATTCAGATTTCAGCATCCATAAATAAAGTTTTATTGGAACACGGCCATGCTCATTCATTTATGTGTTGCCTGTGGCTGCTTCACACTACAAAAGGCAGAGTTGAGTTCTTTCGACAGAAACTGTGTGAACCCAAAGACCTAACATATTTGCTATCTGGCCCTTTACAGAAAAGTTGTTGAGCATGATTTACACTAAGGAGCTGAAAGCCACGCCTGCAGCTTGTCATTATGCTCAAGACCAACCCAAAGCCACGGTATCCCTGAGACTACCAGCAGAGGGCGCGCATGGGCCCTGCAAGTACAGCATAATTTAGTCCGGGCTGTTTTTTTGGTACGGGCTTCTTGAAGACAAATAGGGAGATGTCCCATTTAGGATGATTCAAACCCAATCACATTATCTTTCTTAATAGAAGATGAAAGGCTTCGAGAAGCAAAACTGAACCAATTCACTGAAACATTTTTTTTTCAGATACCAGCATTAAGTAAATGAGATTTTAACTTCATTTGGAGCCAAGGCTCTAGTTGAAAAATTATGTTCCATTCATTTTTATGGCACGGAGTCATGCAAAGTAGGTTTTCAAATCATTGCAGAATTGTCAGTCCAAAATTTTATTATATGCTTACTTCCTGATGAAACTGTGGCATTGTTCCTTTATTCATTTATAAAATGAATTTATCTTTCATTTTATTAATAACTAGAACATCTGCCTCTATTAAGATTACCCAATGCACATTGCAAAATAATAAAACTGCTTGTGTTTAAGTAGCTGTTAGAACTAAATTTCAATGTAATGTGGCGTTTTCCATATTCAAAAACACATCTGTCCTGCATCCCTTGTCAACGCTCTATTTTCTATTTCATGAGGTATCTTTTGCTTTTTTTTTTTTTTGGTGCCAAGATGTCATTCAGTGAAATTTCAATGAGTGGAGGAGGCATAATCCAGAATTTAGGATGAAAACAGACTTTGGCGATGCTTCTCCTTAAATTAGAGAAAAGTAACTTTTCCAAACTCACACGAAGTAGCAGACACTTGAACACAAAGAGCCTTGATTATGCTCCATTTACCAACATGAAGGATGCCCGTCATTGCAGACTCACCTCTGAGAACCCAGGCTCCTTAATTTGTTATTCTCTTCCCACCACATTTCACCTAAGTACTAGCATGCTTTGCATGTTAAATTTCCAAGGGAAACAAGTTAACCCTATAAAGGGGTGAATTCTAACTAGTTGAAATACTTTATCTGGCTTTTTCTGTGTCAAGCCTTTCTTCCAAGCCTATGCTTAAGCCCAACTACAAAGAAAGTCAAATCAATAGGAAAAAAATGTGTTCCTAAAGACAGTGTATTTATTGCTTGGCATTTAGTACCTTTCCTTTAACTTATAACATGTCCAGTTTCACCTACCCTACTAACTAGAACCATGTTTATTGTGGCACATTTTCCAAGATTGATAGATGTTACGTGCTGTAGGATACAGATGTTCTTGATCACAGCATTGTACCAGCCTTTTAAAAAGTGAATTTATACACGCATGGACATTAGTTTCAATAAACTTGTTTTGATATGCATTTCTGAATATTTTCTGCAGTGTTTTAAGCTTCAGCGTATCTGTGCTGTAAAAGGAGTCTAACACATTTGAAAGTATCTGAAGAATATATGTAAAAGTAACTGATTTTATTAGTTTCAAAGCTTTTTTACAAGGTGTGATTTTCCAATCATATAAAATGACAAGTTTATACAAGGTTACTTTGAAGCAGCTTTTTTACTTTTGGGTGGTTTCCTTTTTTTATTAGGGTTTGGAATCAGTTTCTTTATTTTAAGGGGTTGTAACACTACAGTCCGCTGACTTTCAACGAGCTTCCTCTTATGCTTAGAGAAGTCTTCAAAGGAAGTTGCCAGAATCTCTTTGTCTTGGCTTTCCAAAGATTCAGTCTCTAAATTTTCCCTGGAGTCTTCGAGTCTGTCTTGAAGCCATGGGACATTTAGACTGGGAACTCTGGGAATTATAGCATTTACTTCATCGACAAAGTCGGTGGTGTCCTTTCTGAATCCCAAGGCCAGGACACATTTTAAGCCAATGACAGGCGCGATTCTCTCGCTGAGACGAGGAACCTGACAAGCAGGAACCATTCTGCTTAAACTTAACTGAATCAGGTGTGAGGTGATGATGGCAGGCTTGGCTGACTTACACACCAGGACTAAAAGCAGCTCGTCCCTTTCCAGAGCCCTGGTGACTTCGTTGACGCCAATGGCAAGCTGCCTCCTGGCGTGGACCGGGGTCCACCCTGCCACCTGTTGGGCGTCTTCTGGCTGCTTCTCCTTCAGATCCTCACTCGCATCAACATCTGTGCTACATCTGTCCCTGCTTTGTTTTCTTAAAAAAGGCTGCTTTTTCTTCCTCCTCTTATCTTCAATCTTCTTAAGACCAATAGATGTGAATCTGTCTTCGAGTGTCTGTAAGAAGAAGTGTATGTCCTCGCGCTCCAGAGCGCTCCAGCAGATGGTGTATGGGTTGTTCAGTGAAGTCTTCACAGTCAAAGGCCTTGTCTTCCGGACAGAGCCCCTCCCTGGTGCCTGAGGAGCTGCGGCCATCCTGAAAATCCTTCATCGTGAAGCAAAACAACAAGGAAAATGTGTGTTAACTAGCAACGCATGTCTTAAGACTATCCCGGGTGTACTAGTTCTGATTCTGGATAGGCTATCTCAAGCCTGATTACAGAAAGACCAGTTATGTGACCATACACTTAACTTCTCTCGTAAGATTAAGTAATTTATTTTCCCCATTTTTTTATGATTTTGTCTTTATTCATATACAAGTAATATGAGTGTTCTGCATTATTGAAATCACAGTGAAATCTTATTTATTTCATTTATTAAAAATATTCCATGTTTCTACTTGTTCATAATTATTCATCCTTTCAATGACTGTATGATGTTAATCTTATAGATTTGTTACTATTTTGAAATAGCTCTCTAGTTAGGGTTCCATTCATTCATTCATTCCACAAATATTCACTGAGAACTTCCAGTGTGCACACAGTGTTTAGGCACTGGGGTTCATCAGTGACAAGTCCCCATGTCCACCCACAGAAGTCCCCATGTCTGCCTGCATGGAGCTCACAATCTATGAGGGCCCCAGAAGCCTCTGCCATTTATAATTAACCAGGTGTGATACTTTTAAAGAACCGTTACAGTACTATATGCACATTATTGAAAACTCAAACAATACTTTCATTCTATGCCCTTTTGTAAGCCTCCCTCCCTGGACCGAGCTGCCTGTGTACCCTCCCTAAAGCATCTGATACACAGCAGGTGGACAGCCCCCCTTTCCATGGTTATTCCACACTGATTGCTCCTCCAGCCAGCAATTTGATGACAACTACGGAAACTTTGTAATGAAACTTAGAGATATTAATCCATTAAGAAAAAATAACCCGAAGGATCCTTACTGGGAAAACGTTATAAAGCATTGGTTTAGGGGGCATATGCTGTTTCTTCTGCCCAGAGGCAACTGCATATTCCTTTCTCATCCCTAAGTTTTCTTCTTCATCATCTTCCTAAGCTCAGCTAAGGGCCGTAGGGACCCACGAGGCAAAACTCAGGTAAAACAAGCCAGCGCTAGAGGAGTCTGGAGGTGGGAACTGTCCCTATTTCCAGGGGACCGGTTTCTCATTCTAGATGTCCCCTCATTCCAGGTCATCTATCCCACCGAGGCTTGCCCTCCCGGAAAGGCCCCATGCACGATTAGGAGTTCTCACCAATTCAACTCCTACATACTAGGCTGGCTGCTGATGCAAGCGAGCAAGTGCCTCTGTGGAGTGTGTCAGAATTTATAAGGCACTTTCTCCATGTATTACTGAGCCTCACAAAATACCTGTCATTGCCCAATATGTGGTTAAGGAAACAGACTCCAATCAACTTGCTCAAAGTCACAGCTGGTTTCCAAATCTAAATTCTATGCTCTTCTGACACTGGCAGCACCTTTAACCTGTGGCCTTTAAAACATACAGATGGTTGGTCCCTATAAAACAGGGCCACACTCGTAAAAAGCTGTGAACCTGATAAAGACCGGAAGTAGGGACCGTGGGTATGTCCAGGCAGCCTTTCTACTCTGGACAGCCCTGAGAACTGGTCTCCCAACCTCTACTGGTCCCCAGTGTTCTTTCCAAGTCACCTTCTTAAATAAAACCAAAATTCCGCTCCTTGGGGTAACAGCAGACCTTGTTCATGTCAGTACCGCCCACTTCCAGAGATTCAGTATCTACTGCCTTCACCCTAGCTCCAGGGCGCAGCCCTCCCGAATCCCCATTATCTCCATGCTCCCCCAAGCACAAGGGTGCATGGCAGAGGCTGCCATCAGGTTGGAGGACAGAGCTCCCGCCAAGCTGCAAGTCAGTTAACGTGTCAGTGTTCAAATAACAGAAAATAAATACTGAAATAAGGACTTACCGTTATGTGCTCTGGAGGGGGAGCAAGGTAAGCATTTAACTCCTCCTGTCTTCAGAATCTAGTGGGGGAGACAAGAGCCAAGAAGTTCGGATAAGCAGAATCTTATGCCCTGTAATCCAAACACAAAGACCTGACTGGTAAGGAGAAGTAGCAGCTTCAGGGGAGTAAAACAGGAAGCCTTGTTGCAATGCCTTTTGAGCTACTGCCTATAGGATCAAGTGCAAACTCTAAGATGACATACAAGGCAAGGCCCTCCACGCTCTGCCCCCATCTCCTTAGAGGCCCCGCCGTGCACGTTATTTCGCACTGCTGAATCGCATACTACTGAATGAGGCCACTATCTCACCACATCTTTATACACATTCCCTCTCTGCAACACTACTCCCACCCTCAGCGCCAGCTTTCTTACTTCCACAAGTATTTCTGGATGATCCATGACGCACCAAGCCATAAAGTTTTACAGAATAAAAAGTCTCTGGCCTCACTAAGCTTAGAATCCATGAGAAAGGCATATCAGCAGGTAATACGATACTATGTGCTACACATTCAGGTCAGAGAAACACAGAATTCTAAGGGAACATATAGCAGAAGCCCGGTTTAGTTGAGGGGATTAGGCAGGGCCTCCTAGAGGAAGCTATCTTTTAACATATATCTGAAGAATGCTTAGCAAAGGAAGCAGGAAGTGGAAAGAGTATCCAGGGAACAGCCTTAAAGGAAATGAAATAAGTTCAGTGTCATTGGGGTAGAGATGCTAGAGAGAGTGGTGAGGTATGAGGAAAGCAGGTAAGGACCAGACAGTGAAGGTCCCTGCAGGCCTTACAGTGGGAAGCAATCAACGTCTCAAGCAGAGGAGTGGCATGATTACGAAGGCACTGCAGAAAGATCTTTGGCCTAGAAAGGTCTGGAAGGGTCCTTTGCCAAGAGTGGAAGCAGCAAAGTAGTCCCGGAAAGAAATGATGGCGGCATGCACTAGAGTCGCCGCAGAGGGTATGGACAGAAGTATGGACGCTAGCTGAAATAATCAAGAAGGGAACATTTACCCAGTTGTGATCAACTGGGAGTAAAGCAGACGAATGACTCAGAGATGCCTCCGTTTACGGATCCGGTAGCGGAGGGGAGAGCTCCAGTTCCCAGAGGCTGCAATCCTGACCCGGAGTTAATCCCTTCCTTTGTATGCGAC